AGCACCCCACCCCACACGACCAGGGAGGAGAGGACCAGGGACCTAGAGGACCAGGAGAGGCCTCACGTCCAGCCTAGAATGACCCGAGGGCCAAGGAGACAGCACAGTGGGGAGGCATTTGCTCTGCCTGTGGCGTGCCCAGGCGTGGCTATTCCCGCCCCCGCCCCAGGGGGTCCCCCAAGGGCGCCACCAGGAGGGATTCCTGGGCGTGTACTGGAAGTCAGCCCTGGGCACAGCCGGGCATGGCCCAAGGCCAAATAAATTAAAAATTTGACTTTTAAAACTGTGACTGAGGGTCCTGCCTCACCCAGCTGCGTGTCCCCTCGCGTCCAGTGAGAGTGTGGGGCCCACTTACCCAGGCCCCTTGCGGCACCTCTTCCTGTAGGGTCACATACGCCCCTGGTACCCAGCCCCCTCCCGCCACGCTGGGGTGTGAATAGGAGCCACCTCTGGGCCACACTAAGGAGAGGGGTGTCCTGGGCAGACTCAACCCCAGACCAAGCCAGCCATCACCTTCAGGCGCTCCTGTGCCCCGCCCAGCTGACCACAGGGCAGGGGAGAGTGAGGCTCCGGCAGGGGCAGTGTCTGGGCCCGTCCCCCAGGCTCCTGTCCTCGCTGGCCGGCCGCGGGCGTGTCCATTTGTCCAGATGGAGCTTTCCGTTCAGTTGCTGCCACACACAGCAGCCCTGACCTGATGGACATATGGGGAAACTAAGGCAGGAGAGGTCAAGTTCCAGGCTCTGTCCGCACGGCAGGAGGGTGGCGGAGGGCACCCTTGGGGAAGCCTCCCAGTGGACTGGCTCTCCAGCACCTGTTAGGCCGGGGGGGGGGGGGCAGGGAACGGGGGCAGGTCTGCTCAAGCCACTCCCTGTTCTGGGTGGACAGGTCGTGGGAAGGGCCGAGACCATGGGGCCCCCACACCGCTACGGCTGGGAGGGCGCAGAAGCCTTTCCCAGAGGATTTGTCGAGACTTGTAAAGGCTTAAAGGGATCAGCCGCTGCTCCTGTGGCGGAGAGCGACCCCTGCTGGCCGCGAGCACTCACTGCTTCAGGTGCTGGCGAGGGGTGTGCAGGGCCTGCGCAGGCGGGCAGTGAGTGGGTGGACAGACTGGAGACGACCAGAGGGACGTGTCTTTGGGCTCTCTCACAGCCCTTGACGCAGACTTGCAGACCTATGGCCTCCTGGTCCGGAGGGGGGCCAGGAAGGGGTGTGGCGCTTGCTCCAGGCTGCCGGGCTGTGGACCCCGGGCAGGTGCTGTCGTCCTTCTGCGCCCTGCAGGATGAGCACGAGCAGGTCCAGGCCCCCCCGAGCTGCCTGTCGCCCCCGCGGCCCCCTCACGTTCATGAGCCTCGGGGCTCCTTTCAGCTGCCTTTTGAGGGACGCTGCTCCGTCCCCTCGTGGTGACCCTGCTGTGACCTGCCCTCTCGCTGCTGCGGCCACCGGCCCTGGGAGCCCTGGCCGAGGCCCTCTGCACCCTCGGGGATACTCGGAGGGGCACGAGGAACCTCCCACCACCTCTGGCCAGGGCTTGGAGAGCTTGTGAACTGTGTGTGTGTGTGTGTGTGCCTGTGTGTGTATGTGTGTGCCTTTGTGTGTCTGTGTCTATGTGTCTGTGTGCGTCTGTGTCTATGTGTGTGTCTGTGGCTGTGTGTGGCTGTGTGTCTATGTGCCTGTGTGTGTCTGTGTCTGTGCATGTGTCTGTGTGTGTGTCTGTGTTTTGTGTGTCTGTGTTTGTGCCTGTGTGTATGTGTGTGTCTGTGTCTATGTGTCTATGTGTGTGTCTGTGTCTGTGTGTGTGTCTGTGTTGTGTGTCTGTGTTTGTGTCTGTGTGTGCCTGTGTGTGTCTGTATCTATGTGTCTATGTGTGTGTATGTATGTGTGTGTCTGTGTCTGTGTGTTTGGCTATGTGTGCCTGTGTGTGTGTGTCTGTGTGTCTATGTGCCTGTGTGTGTCTGTGTCTGTGCATGTGTCTGTGCCTGTGTCTGTGTGCCTGTGTGTGCCTGTGTGTCTGTGTCTGTGTCTATGTGTGTGTCTCTGTGTCTGTGTGTGTATGTGTCTGTGTGTCTGTGTGTGCCTGTGTATGTCTGTGTGTGTGTCTGTGTCTGAGCGTGCGCGTCGGACCGGGTGCGAGTCCTGGCACTGCAGAGCTGGGAGTGGCCCTGAGCACTGTCCACTTGGCCCCAAGCAAAGCAGACACAGACCAAAGCCCCCTCTGCCAGCGGCCCCTGAGTCTGGCTCCTGGGGCCAGTTCATCAGGGAGCACGTCCCGGTGCCGTGGGTAACCCCGGCTGCAGTGACTGACCGGCAGCTCACAGGCCTCCCTGCTGAGCCCTGACCAGCGCTCCAGGCACTTAGGCTGACCAACAGCGACCCCTGCTGCCGCATCGGCCCACCGCAGGCCCTTTGTCAGCTTCTTTGTACTTCCTGTCTGCCTCCCGCACAGATTCTGTTTAGTGGTGCCTGGGGCTGGATATTGCCGCCTGGCTGACTGTGGACCCTGGCAGCCAGTGTTTGCCCATGCCCAGGTGGAGCTGGGACCCCATGGGTCCGGGCAGAACCCCAGGGCCCCCGGGTAGCCTCAGCAAAGATGGTGGCCGGGCACACCCGTTCTGGGCCCCCAACACTCCGGTGCCTTAAGGCTGCTGAGATTCTGCTTGCGGGGGAAGTTGGTGCCCCTCACTGGTGGCCTTCCTCACGCACCCCACAACACGCAGCGGCTACTGCTGGGGGCCCTCCCAAGGGCCCGTGACGCGGTCTCCCTGTGCCCGTGTTTCCGGCCTGGTGCTGGCTCCTGCGAGGGCATCAGCGTCCACTGCCTACCATCCACCACATGAGGCGGCCTGGGAGCACAGGACCCCGGGGAGGTGGACATTCCCACGGGCCTCTGCCCCAGGTCTAACCGAGACCCGGTCAGGACGGCTGCTTCAAGGGCTTCTCAGTGGGAACCAGCGGACAGAGGCTGGGAAGACGGGCAGACAGACCGACAGACGAGTGATGGATGGGCAGATGGACGGAGGGTGGATGAATTGATGACAAGTGTTTCTCTTTTTCTTTTTTTCTTTTTTTTTTTTTTGGCTTTTGGGACCACACCCAGTGATGCTCAGGGGTTACTCCCAGCTCTGCACTCAGGACTCACTCCTGGCAGTGCTCGGGGGACCATATGGGATGCCAAGGATCGAACTAACATCAGCCTACCACTCCAGCCCCTGGACAAGTGCTTCAGTGAATTGATTGTGGGGAGGGCAGTTAGGTGTTGGTATTTTTTGGTTCTGGTTTAGTTTTGTTTTGAGGTCACACCCTGCAGTGCTCAGGGGCTACTCGGGGCCCATGCCATGCTGGAGAGTGAACCCAGACTTCCCCATGCAAAGTATACGCCCCTTGATTCATTCCCTCGGCCTCCAGAGAAGGAGAGTAAACTCTCGGGTACATAAACGTGTAGTAGGTTTTTGTTTTATTTTGTTTTTTTCTTTTGCCTTTTGGATCACACCCAGTGATGCTCGGGGGTCACTCCTGGCTCTGCACTCAGGAATTACCCTTGGTGGTGCTTGGGGGACCACGTGGGATGTCGGGGATCAAACCCGGGTTGGCCATGTGCAAGGCAAACGCCCTACCCGCTGTGCCATCTCTCTGGCCCCAAATGTGTAGCAGTTAGAGAGTGGGCGTGGGGGAGGGGCAGCGAGGGAATAAATATGGGAGCCGGGGAGGGTCCCGTAGGTTCGGGCACTTGCCTTGCATATACTGGGCCCAGACGACCAAGTCCAAAACTAAATAACTATGGAATACCACCTGCACGTTCCCACGTTTACCTTTTTGCTGGCAGGCTGGTGGGGGGGGGGGGGGGAAGGCTGCAGGGCAGAGTGTGTCCCAGATAAGGTCCCACCGGAGTGAAGCGACTTGTGTGAAAGATGGCCCCAGGACCCAGAAGGGACAGCGGCGGCCCTGACAGAGCCCAAGAACTTCCAGGGATGACCCTTGAGCACAAAGTCAGGAGTAAACCCTAAGCACCACTGAGTGTGGCCCAGTAACCCAAGGGGTGGGAAAATGGACTCACGCAACAGTGCTCAATGATCAGAGCTGGGAAGAGCCCAGGATCATCCCTGCCATTCCTCTGGCAGAGGTGTGAGAAGCCCCTGGGCAGGAAGGGGAGACACACGGAAAAGTCCGTGAGGAAGTGACCCCTGGGCAGTGGACGTGTGGGGCAGCCACTCGGCAGTGAGAAGGCTGGGGTGGGTAGAGATAGTTCCCAAGGCTGGGCACGTGCTTTGCATGTGGGAAGCCCAGGTGCTCCCCCTGGCACCGCACGGTCCCCTGAGCACCAGGCAGAGGGTTGCCCCGAGCACCACCCTCTGGGGCCGCGAATCCAGGAGGAAGAGAAGTCGCCATTTCCTCTGGGTTTCCGTTGACGCTGGAGGCTCTCCTGCCTCAGTGAGGCCGGCGGTATTCGGCGTGTGTTGGGAGAAGGGGCCTGGAGGGGCTGGAGCAATAGCACAGCGGGTCGGGCGTTTGCCTTGCACGCAGCCGACCCGGGTTTGACTCCCAGCATCCCATAGGGTCCCCTGAGCACCGCCAGGGGTAATTCCTGAGTGCATGAGCCAGGAGTAACCCCTGTGCATTGCCGGGTGTGACCCAAAAAGCAAAAAAAAAGAAGAGACTAGAGGGAAGCGGGGGTCCCGGCGGACTTTGAGGAGGTGGATGTGGGGCAGAGCGTCACCCACGAGGCATCTGGATCTTTTTGGGGGTGGAGGCACCTTGGAGCCCGGGAAGTGCAAAGCATCACAGTATCGTTGGCCAGCTCCTGCAGCCTCCTGTGACACACAGATCCGGGTCCGGGGACAGGCAGAGGAGTGAGGGAGCGGCCCAAGCCAGAGATGGGGGTGGGGGAGCTGGGGCTGGCGGGATTTCTGCATCTCCATCTCCCTCCCGGCAGAGGCGGCACTCAGAGGAGGCTGCGGCCGGGAGGGCCCCGTGAGTGACTCCCCCCCACCCTCCTCTCTCCACAGCTGGACACGTTCATGGCTCTCGGGTAGAAGCCAGCCCCACGGCCAGGATGAATTCTATGGACAGACACATCCAGCAGACGAATGACCGACTGCAGTGCATCAAGCAGGTGCGTGCATGCCGCTCCGGGCTGGGGGAGAAGGACCCCCTCCCTGGAGGACCAGCCCAGCCGGGATTCCACTGGGCCTCTGCCCCATCCCTCTCCTGCCTTCGGCGCTGTGGCTGTGGCCCCGCAGTGCCCTCCAGTCTGCAGTGAGAAGCGCCCGCACAGCCTTCGCTCCCCGCTCGCTGCCCCGCCCGGCCTTGGCCTCCTCTGCTTGCGCTGTCAGACACAGAAACCAAAGCGGGCGGGGGCAGTGCACGGCGGCGAAGGCCTCGCACAACCAGGCTCCATCCCCAGCATCCCGTATGGTCCCAGAGACCCCCTCCAACCCCCCAAGGGCGAGAGGGCAGGGTCAGGGGTCAGACAGCCGCCCCCGACACCCGCACTCACTCCGCTGAGTGATGAGCGGCTACACCCCCGCCACGGCTCAGGGACAGTGCCCAGACCGGGCAGCCCTCCTGGGGAGGGGGGGGTCTGGGGCCTCGTTCTTCTGGGACACGCTGTGGCTTCAGCTTCCCGCCGGGAACAGGGCCACGGCTCGGCCCCCTGGAGTGCTCTGAGTAGGAGGCAAGGGGGGGGTCCTGCCAGCGACTGGAGACGGAGGGCAGGGAATGCGGGACCCCAGCCTGGCCGCAAGCTCAGGTCAGCAGCCTGGACGCCGGTGCCTGTCCGCGGCCGTGCCCTCTCGTTAGCATCGAGCAGAGCGATCTGGGAGGCCGCTCAGGGCCGCCAGAGGAAATTGAAGGAGACTCGCGACAGATTGAACTCAGCCGAGCCGCTCCCCCAAATGCCAGTCACGCCTCTGCCACGGTCATAGAATAGAAACCAGACGAGCCGCCTCCTCCCGCTCTGCCCGTGACCCAGATTCTCCCGCCCGGGAGGGATGTCTGTCGGCACCCCCACCCTGCATGCGCTCGCTCTCTCTCTCACACACACACACACACACACACACGAAACACACACATGCACGATCACATGCAGGCACTCAGGCACATGCAGCCTCACACCATGTACAATCACACATGTATGCGTTCACACACGCACCCACAGGCACATATCACGTACGCACGTCCATTCACGCAACATGCATTTGCACCCGCATGTGCACATACAGGTACACGTGCACAATCACATGCATGCATGCAGACATGTGTGTTCACACATGTGTCGTCATGCGTGCACGCGCACGCACATCCTGCCCCAAACCCGAGCCTGCTCAGCCCCAGGTGTGCGGCGGCTCACAGCCTGACTTTCTGCCCTGGCACCAGCCTCCGACGTGCTGGGAATCTGGGTCCCTGCTGTTTCTCGGCCTTCCTGGGGGCCAGAGAGCAGCCCCCACGACAGGGCGGAGCTCGGTCTACCCAGGGTGCACCAGGGGGCCTGTGCACATACAGTGAGGCTGACACACAGGTGCAGGCAGCGCACGCCGAGAGCTTCACACGCATGGAGGGAGCACTTTGCACATGTGCGCCCACACACACACACACACGCATTCACACGTGTGCAGCTGTGTCGCACACCTGGGACGAGAGCCGGCCCCCTCGGAGCTGCTGCTGCTCCTTCACGCCCCTCCCCCCCTGGGCCCGGCAGCGGAGATGTCCTGCCCAGAGGGCGGCTGCAGCTGGCGGGGACTGTGGCCTCTCAGGGTGCTGCGCCCTAATCCGAAGGGAAAGGCGCAGGTCTGCGTGCTCGGGGATGCAGTGGACGTGGTGCCGGGCCTTGCTGTCTGCTGGGCTCCGACCGGCCTGCCCGGGTCTCCACAATACCCGCTGCCCAGCCTCCCCCCGGGCCTCCCCTCCATTTCATTCCCCCTTCTCAGCCTTGGGGCCGGAGGAGCCCCCTGCCCAGGGACCCTCCTGGCTCCACTTGCTATTTCCTGCCCGTAACCCCCCTCCTGAATGTCCACCCGGTGTGTGCATCCCAGCCCCTCCCACTCGCTCGTCCTGCCCTTTCTCCTGATGCCCCCGAAGGCCATAAAGGAAATCTCCCACCGGTCTCCTTGTGGGCAGAGACCGTGCTGAACCCAGCTGCAGACCCAGCAGAGTCTAGAAGAGCCCATGGCGCAGAGTGGGCCCACCATCTTCTGGGTGGGCTCATAAACAAGGGAAGGAAGTGGTAGGAGGCTGAGCAGACGGGTGAGTGGGCAGCTGGAGGGCGTGGCCAGGGCTGGCTGGGGCAGCTGTGGTTGATGGTGGGCAAGTGGGTGAGCGGTGGCTGAGGGTCCAGCTGGTATGAGTGGGTGGACGGGGAGGTGGCGGGGAGTGAGGAGCACAGTCGTGAGTGGGTGAGCAGTGGGTGGATGAACGGAGCTGGGGGTGGATGGATGGATGGGTCATTCGACTCACAGACTGATGAACCACATCCCTCACTGGGTCCAGGGAGCCAGTCCCTGCTCTGGTGCCCACAACCCCTGCCGTGCTTTGGATCTCTCGAGGGATTGTCGAGATGGCAGAGTTGGTCGTCAGTGTGCGGAGAAAATCCATTCTCGAGTCTGTCTTCTCTGGCCGTAGAACTAGTTCAGGGTTTAGACATTTAACCTTGTGAGTGGCCAATACCCCATTGGGTCCCTCCAAGTCAGTAGTCAGCCCTGAGCACTGACAGATGAGCCCCCGAACCAACACCCCATAGGGTCCCTCCAAGCCCTGCCAGGAGCGAGCCCTGAGCAGAGTCAGGAGTCAGCCCTGAGCACTGCCAGATGAGCCCCTGAACCGACACCCCATAGGGTCTCTCCAAGCCCTGCCAGGAGCCAGCCCCGAGCACAGAGTCAGGAGTCAGCTCTGAGCACTGCCGGATGAGCCCTCGAACCAAAATAAATCCCTCCTCCCCTTGGCAGGTCACCAAAGACCGATGAACAGCTGGTGTCAGGCACACACAGGTGGGCGAGGGGGCTCAGGCTGCTCTCAGGGGTCCCGGGAGAAGCCCACGCGCAGGGAGCACCTGACTGTGTCCCACGCCCATGTCGCTGAGAAGGCCCCAGGAGCAGGGGTCAGCGGGTTTGTCCAAGTCTGTCTGTGCGCCTACCCAGTCTTAGCATCCCTCAGTGACAGTGGACATGGCCAGCAGCCGTCCAGCATGATTCCTGTTGTTTTGTCCACCCACGGGCAGCACCCACAGTGACCGGCCAGAGCCCACCCTGAGAGCCAGGCGTGGCCGCAGGGTGTGGGAGGCTGGACATGAGCAGGTTTTTTGTGTGTTTTTCTGTTCTGGGCCACACCGAGCGGTGCTCCAAGCTGACTCCTGGCTCTGCTCAGGGATCACTCCTGGTGGGCTCGGGGGCCCTGTGGGGTACTGGGGTCGAACCTGGGCCGGCTGCATGAAGCCCAGCGCCCTCCCCGCTGTGCTGTCGCTCCAGCCCCTGGTTCTGGACCCTGAACCAGGCCCGAGGCCCCCGTGGTGCCCAGGAGACGGCGCTTGGAGGAGGCTGCGGCCTGGCAGTCGGGTGTGAAGCACGTGAATAAATGGAACGACCCGGTTAACCAGAGCGCGCGCAGGCCGCGAGGTAGCCGGTTTACACGACTCCCCCCGGGGGCCCGGTGTCTCCTGGGCTTCCAACAGAGCAGGGGCAGAGGCGAGGGGTCCAGCGGCCTCTGCAGATGCCAGACGCCCCAGCCTGGTCTGTGGCCTCCGCCCTCTCTGCCCTGGCCTCGTCCTCCTCCGCCGCAGAGCGGGCAGAGGCGGTGCCCACCCTCCTCCCCGCTCCAGCCTCCTTTTGTGTCGCTGTGCTGTGGTCGCAGCTGTCTCACAGGGGCTGGCCCAGGTCCCGGCCCCTGGATGTCCCCCTAAGCCCGCCGGGAGGGACCCCTGAGTGAGGTCGGCAGTGAGCCAAGGCCACCTCCAGGCGAGGCCCCCAACAAAATAAAACTAAGCCAGAGCACCAGAAATGTTTGCTCTCCGTGCCCCCCCCCCCCCCCAAAGCGGGCTGCATCCCCATTTTACAGATGGGAAGGGCCTGGGCTCGGGGCAGTGAGGCTGCTACGTGTCAGGCGGGTCGTCCCCGGCATCCCATATGCATGCCAGGCAGAGTGCGCCCGCCTCCATCAGGGCCGCATGACACCTCTGAAGGCCGCACTTGCCGCACTGTGGCCACCTGGGCTCAGCCCGCTGGGGGTCCCTTGCTCTGGGTCCCATCTGTCCCTGCCCCGTGCCTCTGGCCGGGGAAGCTGCCTTGGCTGCAGAGCCCAGAGCCTGTGGGTCCAGAGAGCCCTGGCAGGGCCGGAGCCAGAGGACAGCGGGGAAGGCGTGTGCCCTGCATTCAGCCAGCCTGGTTTGGTCCTGGCCGCTCTCAGGGTCCCCGCGCCCCACAGCACCGGAGTCCACCCTGGCAGTTCTCTGGCTGCTCACGCGGAGGCCTTGGTCATCGGGCTGAGTGGGTCGCTGGCCCGCTGTGTCCTCCAGCCCTCCTGGGCTTTGCCCCACCCCTGGGCCCCGTGGCGCCTCACGCTGCCTCTCCCCGCCCACAGCACCTCCAGAACCCCGCCAACTTCCACAATGCCGCCACGGAGCTGCTGGACTGGTGCGGAGACCCCCGAGCCTTCCAGCGACCCTTCGAGCAGAGCCTGATGGGCTGTTTGACGGTGAGTCTGCGCCTCCCGCCCTCCCGGGCAAGGGTCACTTCGGGAGGGGGTGGATCCCGCTTTCAGGAGGGCCAGTGTGATGGGCAGTGTCACTGTCAGGAAGCAAAGCCGAGGGCCACGGGCAACATCTCCTCCACCCAGACCCAACCGTCACACACTCAGCTGGGCGGACCGTTTGGTTGGTTTCTGTTCAGGGGCCACACCTGGTGATGCTTGGGGCTTACTCCTGGCGGTGCTCAGGGGACCCTGTGGGATGCTGGGGATTGAACCCAGGTCAGCTGTGTGCAAAGCAAGTGCCCTACCCACTGCGCTATCTCTCTGGCCCCTACTCTGGCCCAGAAAGCTGAGGCAGGATGCCTGGCTGAGTCCAAGTCTCTGGATGGACGTGCAGGTCTTGAGCCGAGTGCCCAGCGTCCTTGGGGAACCGTGGGGCGGGCAGCAGGGCAAACCCATGGCCCTCAGGAGCTGACCGAGCTCCTGCAGCCAAGGCACAGTGGACGCCAGGCCAGGCCAGGCCCTGGGTGACTCAGGCTTTTCAAGCCCTGGACCTTGCAGACTGCTGACCCTGGGGGGAGCACCCACCCACATCCAGAGGGTCTGTGGGCACGCTGGCCACCAGCGTCGCGTGAGCAGTTTGCTGGGAGCCCGGCTGGCAGGCACAGAGCCAAGAGGGCCGCAGGAGCCCGTCTCATACCCCCTCTCTGTTCGTGTTTGCTTGGCTTGGGCCACCCTCAGGGGTGCTCCGGGGTTACTCCTGGTGGTGCTCGGGGGACTATATGGGATGCCGGGGATCGAACCCACGTCTGCCGCGTGCAAAGAAAATGCCCCACCTGCTATCCTATCTGGCCTCTCTCATTTTATAAGGGAGGAACTGAGTGCCTTGGTGAATCCCTTCGTAGGACCCCAAGCCAGTCAGCAGCCCTCTGCCTGCCCGGCCCCCGGGCAGACCCACTGGGATGACCGCCCCCCCCACCAGCCTTCCCCACAGGTCACACCCGCCCCCCCCAGGTTCCCGAGGGCCTGTGCCATGCATCCACCCCGCACCCCTGCCAGCTCCTCTAATCCTCTTTGTGAAGATCCTGGTTCAGTCTAAGCCTGAGGCTGGGGACAAGCGAGAGCGGCCCCCAGTGCCCTCGGGATCAGAGCCGAGGTGGACGGTGGCACGGCCCCGGGCACCCTCACACACTCTGGTCCCTGCTCTGGGCAGGGCGTGAGGACTCTGCACCACCCCCCCACCCGCCCCGCGAGTGCTACGCAGTCCCAGGGGCCATTGAGGACGGTGGCCAGGTAGGGGCTCCGTGGGCTCGGGAACCCCAGCGGGCTGGGGTCGCCAGCAGAGGTGAGGGGGCAGCAGGAACGCATGGACACGCCATGGGCTGAGCAAGGAGAGTTTGTGCTCTGGGGCCAGGGGCCTGGAAAGGCCTGAGCTGGGGCTGGGATGTCTGTGAGGAGGGAGGCGGGGGGCTATGAAAGGGAGCCCCAGGGTGGACAGGAGGGAGGGATCACGGTGAGCTTCCCCAGGAGGAAGCCAGGAAGACGCTCGCTGTATGGGGGCTGGGGGCCTTCAGACCAGTGTGCTGGACAGAGCCCTCAGCATCCGGAGTCAGGGGCTGCAGGCTGTACAGAGGCTTAGCTGGCCTCATGCCTCCATCCTGCTCTCCGCCAGAACAAAACCTGCTGGCCACAGCCCAGGAGCCGGACATCGAGCCTAGGCACGCGCACACCCTACCCCAGGGCAGTCACAGGAGGCGAACTCCCTCTCCCCCCCACTCATTCCCCCTCTCCCTCTCTTCCTTTTCTCCTCTCCCCTTTCCTCCCTCCCTCTTTCCCTCTCTTCTTTCTCCTCTCTCTCCCTCCCTCCCTCCCTCCCTCTCTCCCTCCCTCCCTCTTCTCTTTCTCTCCCTCTGAGGGAACTGAGGCCCAGAGAGGTGGATTTCACAGACAGCTGCTCTGCGCAGAGCCAGGCTCTCCCCTACCTGACTCCAGAGAGCCCGTGGGCCTGGTAGAAGCTGCCCTGGGACCGGACCTGCCTGCACTCGGCTCCAGGGCAGCTGAGGAAGGGCGGGAACCGCAGCGACAGTCACCACAGATTAGGGTTGTGTATCCCGTATGGCCTGCACTGAGTGGGCAGCGGAGTGGGCATTGAGGGCTCCGCTGGAGGGTGTTGCCATGGAGACAGACCTGGGTCCTAGGGGTGATGCCCACATTCCCAGGACTCCAGAAGACCAGTGACTTACTTGCCTTGGGGTGGGCGGGATGAGAGCCAGGGAACCCCTGGGACCCGCCACACACGCCCCTTCCCTGTCCCTGGCAGAGGCAGGGCACAGCCTCCATGAAGGGCCTTCCAGAGCTGCCTGGGGTGACCCTTCCCTCTGCTCTCAGTCACACCCTCCCACGGCTCTTGGGGGCCCGAGGGTCCCAGGGCCCAGCACCACTCTGCCTCACAGGTGCCAAGCGCCCTTCAGTAGGCCTGAGAGGAGGCGGCCGGAACCCATGGACACTGGGCTCTGCTCTCAGGAGCGCCTGCACCCCAGAGTTGCCCCCTGCACCCCAGAACCTCCCCCTGCACCACACAGCTGCCCTCCCTGTACCCCACAGCTTCCCCCTGCACCCAGAGGCCTCCCCGCACCCCAGAACCGCCCTCCTGCAGGCTCTCAGCAGTCTGCCCCAGTCTCCTCTTGCTCAATTTTCCTAGTTAGATTTTGGTGTTTCAAAACCAGAGCAACAGGATTAGCCTGTATTGGCCAAAGCTGGGACCTTTGTCTCCTTGCCCTCACCCAGGGCCCGAGGGTGCCCGGAAGGTGGGAATTACAGCCTTAACCCTTTGTGGGCTGATGAAGAGGCCTTGGCTAGAAAGCACCCAGGCTAACTCTCTGGACAGTTTGTATCTTGGGTTTCCTGATCTGTGAAGCCAGTACAGCACCACCTGTCAAGGAGCTCCTGGGAAAATGAGGTGCTTCCCTATTTAGGGAGCATTTCCCACAGCCCGCCACCCTGAGAGCCTGTCTTCTCCTCCCAGACTGCTCAGTGTCCATATTTTCTTCACATAGCGCCTGTATTTCCCCCAACAGCATTCTCATTTCCCTCACACAACATCCACATTTCCCTCAGTGTTCACGTTTCCTCCCCCCATTGTCCACGTTTCCCTCATAGTATCCACATTTCCCCCCCACAGTGTCCACATTTCCCTCACAGCGTCCATGTTCCCCCCCCCCAGTGTTCATGTTTCCCTCACAGCATCCACGTTTCCTCCCCCCCACAGTGCCCATGTTTCCCTCACAGCATCCACATTTCCCCCCCACAGTTTCCACATTTCCCTCACAGCGTCCACGTTTCCCCCCTCAGTGTCCACATTCCCCCCCGTGTCCACGTTTCCCCCCACAGTGTCCACGTTCCCCCCCGCAGTGTCCATGTTTCCCTCACAGCATCCATGTTTCCCAAATTTCCCACACACATCTTCTACCTTTTCCTCAGAGCATCCATGTCCCCCACACACAGCGTCCACGGTTCCCTCACACCATGTCCACCTTTCCCTCACACAGCATTGTTTTCCTCACACCACACATATTTCCCTCATGCAACATCCATGTTTCCTTCACACAGCGTGAACATTTTAAACCTCCCAGCGTGAATGTTGCCCTCGCACAGCATCCGTGTTTTCCTCTCACGGTGTCCACATTTCCTCACAGCGCCCGCGTTTCCCTCACAGCATTCCCGTCTCCATCACACACCATCCACGTTTCCTTCTCAGTGTCCGCGTTTCCCTCACGGCCTCTGTATTTTCCTCACAACGTCCACGTTTCCTTCACGGAGTTCACGTTTTCCTCCCATAGCTGCCCCACCTGCACCATTCCACACACTCCTGTCTGCAGCTTCTCTCCTGTCCCCAAGGCCCTCCTGAAGAGACACATTGTCCACATCTCAGCCAAACCAGCTTTTCCAGCTCAGACTTACCCCAGCTCTGGGGAAATGTCTCCTGGGGATGAACTATCTATCCCCTGGGACAAGAAGGCTCTTGGGGAGGCAGGGAGGCCGCCCTGGGGAGCTCAGGGACTCGCAGACACCATTGTGGGGGGACATGGAGCACTAAGACCACAGCACGGGGCCCTAGTGGAGCGGGCGAGAACAGAGCACAGTGCAGGGCAGCTGTTGGCAGCAGGAACGGAGCCAGCGGTCAACCCTGAGAGGCTCCTTCCCGCAGAGCCGGCTGGGAGGTGGGTCCCCTTCCCAGAGGCCCGTGGACTGGCTCTCTCTGGGCTTCAAGTGTCTTTGCATGAGCCCAGAGGGAGCGGGGAACTGCCAAGTAGCAGCGGTGTCGGCCGGGCCTCGGGTCCCGCAGCCCTGAGCTGGAGGCGCGAGTCTGCCCCCTCTGAGGAGCTGCCGAGCGAGCCCACAGCTGGGAAGGCGCCTTCTGCAGTCAGCCGTGGCCTCCCCAGCTGCTCCCCGCGACGACTCCGTCTCCCAGGTCCTTCCTTCCTAATCAGGAAACCTAATTTGGCTGCGGCTAATGAGGAAGGCGGCGGGCGCGGGCGCAGCTCTGGCAACAGCGGGACCCGGGGTGGAGACTGGGAGCAGGTGGGAGGCCCCCATCACACGTGCCGCAGGGGACCGAGCGCCCACTTTGGCCCATCTGACGGCCGCGGGAAGTGAATGGACACCAGGGTCAGCGGGCACTCAACACGGTGTGGGGCTCAGGAGCCTGGCCCTGGAGCCCTGGACGCCGCTGACTCCCAGGACTGAATGCTGAGCGCCCCGTGCACATCCACTGGGCAGGGCGCTGTTGGTCCCCACTCTGTCCTCCTTCCCCCCACCCCCACCCCAGGCCGAGACAGTCAGCCTCGGGCCAGATGGTGAGGGCGGGCCGGAGCCCTCGTTCAGCAGGTGGGGCATTTATCTAGCACTTGCAGACCCAGGTTCGATCTCCAGTACCAAGTACGGTTCCCCTGAGCACCGCCAGGAGTGATTCCTCCGTGCAGAGCCGGGAGGAAGCCCTGAGCATCGCCGGGTGTGGCCCCCAAACCAAAAACCAAACAAACAAAGGTGATGGTAGTGGGTTGGAGCGAGAGCACAGCAGGCCAGCATTTGCCTTGCACGCGGTTAACCTGAGTCAGACCCCTGGCATCCCATACGGTGCCCTGAGCGCCCCTGGGTCTGGCCCAGAAGAAACCAACCAAAAGAGACAGCGATAGAGCTTTGTGAGGGCTGGGGTGGCTGGGGAATTCTGGGGGGCTGGGGCTTGGGGAGTAGTGGAGAGCCCACCTGGGCCATCCAAAGCGGAAGAGGCCGCAAGCCCCCCAGAATTGGCCGCAAGCATCCCTCTGCAGTGTGTCCAAGCCTGAGGTCCCGCAAGCCACGAGGCCAGAAGGAGCCCCGGAGCTTCGGGCCCGGGGGGCTGCCTTGGCTGACCCTGGCCTCTCCCCTCCGGCAGGTGGTCAGCCGAGTGGCAGCTCAGCAAGGTTTCGACCTGGACCTCGGCTACAGGCTGCTGGCCGTGTGCGCTGCCAACCGGGACAAGTTCACGCCCAAGTCTGCCGGTAGGTGCCTGTGAGGTGCGGCCATGCGGGTGGCAGCGGGACCCAGATGAGAACCTTGGCACTTCCATCCCCTGGCGTGCCGGCTGGTTTGGGCCTCTGAGTGGGGTCTCTTCCCCACCTGGAGCCCACGTCTCGTGCGCCCACCTCATGTGTCCTCACTGTGGGGGCAGTGTAGAACCCACAGACCACCACGCGGGCACTGAGAGGCTGGCATGAGGGTCACCAGCACTGTGAGGAAACTGTGGTTCAAGATTTGAAGGGACATTCCCAGGTCATGCAGCCGGACCGGCCGAGCTGGCTGTGTGGCCGGCCATCTCTTTTAACCCTGATACTTCTTTTCTTTTCTCATTCAAAAACTGTGTTTAAAGTAGCTGGAGCGAGAGTGCAGCAAGGTGGACACCTGCCTTGCACGCGGCCAGCTTGGGTTCCATCCACAACCCCCCATGTGGTGCCCCGAGCACTTCCAGGACTAGGAGTCAGCCCTGAGCACTGCTGACCTGGCCCCAAACCCTAAGCCCATGTTTAAAATAAGGCACAAATCTCTGCCAGCAGCAGCCTCTGCCGTTCTCAGAGCCGCACTCCAGCTGCTAGTGCTGTGTGAACTCTGACCGGTCAGAGTTCTGAGCCTCAGTTTACCCCTCGGGAAGGCAGAAAGAATGAGAATCTCCTTTGCGTGGGCCAGCAGCATTCTAGACATGTGGACGACACTGCCCTTACTGTGTCAGGTCAGAACAATTCAACAAAAAAAAAGAGAAAAATTGCAGTGTCTGTGTATTGCTCGCACGTTTTATTGAGTCAGAATAATTCAGGAGGAAAGAGAGAATCAGGGGCCAGAGCCCGTGCTCTGCATGTGGAAGCCCCGGGTTTGGTCTCTGCATCACATGACTACCTGAGCACTGCGCGGGGAGCACCACCAGGTGTAGCCTCAGCACAGACATACATACTTAGCGCCTATTTTCAGGGTGATTGTAATACAGATGTGTTCTGTGAATCCATCCAGCAGTGAATTTGAGTAGATCCAGAACTAGCCTCAATGAATGAATGTATTTCAGTGACTTTTCACACTGAGTTCTCAGAAATCTGCTCAAATGTCGTGATCACGGGTTTGCGCGTCTGCTCGTGGGCCGGGGGTCTCTTGTATAGGGCGGATGAGGTCTCAGAGGCCTCTGAGGCACTGCCTGGGTTGGAATCTCGCGCTGGTATTGAACCGCTTGCCAGAAAATGGTCTCATGGCTTCTACTCCTAACGGAATATGCACTGTAGGACTGTCCTCCCGTTGTTCATTGATTTGCTCGAGCGGGCCCAGTAACATCTCCATCGTGAGACTTGTTACTGTGTTTGGCATATTGAATACGTCAAAACAGAATATGCAGTTTTAATAATAACCTGGGGCTGGAGCGATAGCACAGCAGGTAGGGCGTTTGCCTTGCACGCGGCGAACCCGGGTTTGATTCCAAGCATCCCATATGGTCCCCCAAGCACCGCCAAGTGTAATTCCTGAGTGAAGAGCCAGGAGTAACCCCTGTGCATTGCCGGGTGTGACCCACAAAAGCAAAAATAATAATAACAATAATAATAACAACAACACCTCAAGCCAATACCGTTTTGACAAAGTGAAAGTTGCTGTTGGTCCAAGAAATGTTGTACCCCCCTCTGCCGTCGCTGATCTCCAAAGCCCCTCCCGAGATTGGCATCCTCTGAGGCTTCTCAGGAAATATTCTAGGGCAGGGATCAACAAACTTGATCCTGGAAGGGCTGGGTAGAATGAAGTTCTAACCCAGAGGCAGCACCAGGTAACAGCGTGGTCGGTCCCAGCCATACGTTTATTTGTGAAAGCAGGCGCTAAGGCTCCAGCTCCCCCCTCTGGGTCCGGGGAGAAAACCGGAGCAGCCCTACAGAGTGCACATGCAGGAACGCAGCGATACTCAGCCGGGAGGGGCACAGGGTTGCCCGAGGCCTCCTGGGCTGAGGAAAGGCTCCTGATGCCCGGATCGGGACAGCCTGAGTGGGGCGCAGGGCGATGGGTGGGGAGAAGCCTGAAGGCTGGGCAGGAAGGAGCCGGGTTGTTCTCTCGTCAAGCCGCGACAACACAGCAGGGAGGACATTGGCCTTGCAAGCGGCCGGCCCAGGTTCGATCCCCAACACCCACATGGTCCCCTGTGCACCTCCCTGAGCCTTGCCGGGTATGACCCAGGAAGAAAGAGAGAAGCAGGTTGTGCAGGGAACCAGTAAAACTCATTCCTGGGCGGGGGGTGGAGAAACCAAGGTGCAGGGGCCAGAGAGATGGTCCAGGGTGTAGGACGTTCTCCTGGCATGTGGCTGACCAAGGTTCAATCCCAGCATCCCACAGGGTCCCCCGAGCCCCACCAGTGAGGCAGGGCCAGGAGTGAGCCCTGAACACCACCAGGTGTGGTCCTAAAGCCAACCACAAAAAGAAAAATGAATCTGAATGAATCCAAGTGACGTGCAAGAGGCATAAACCAGGCCAGGATGTGTGGTCAGCGGGCTGAGAGGGAGGGCGGAGAAGGGACCGGTCCCCACTGGACTCTGTGCAGCCCTGGGCATTGCAGCTGTAGCCTCAAACCAAAACCCATTTAAAATAAAGCACAGATTTCGAGGCTGGAGTGATAGCACAGCTGGGAGGACGTTTGCCTTACACGCGGCCATGCCGGGTTCGATTCCCAGCATCCCATATGGTCCCCCCAAGCACTGCCAGGAATAATTCCGGAGTGCAGAGCCAGGAGTAACCCCCTGTGCATTGCCGGGTGTGACCCAAAAAGCAAATTAATTAATTAAAGTACAAATTTTAACGAGAAATGAGCCAGGGTGCAGGGTGGTCTGGGGTGGAGCCAGGCCTCCGTCCTGCAGGGCCTTCCCAGCTCTCTTCCAGGGCTGGGGCGCTGGGGCTCACCGAGGTCCACAGCCGTGAACCCAGCAGAGCCTTGACCCATGACTCCAGCTCAAGGCCTCTGGCCCTGCCCTCGTCCCAGGCAGCCGAGGCTGGCGGCCAAGTAACCGCCTGTCCCCACCATCCCTTCTGCTCTTTGGTCTTGGGGCTCATCCTGACTTTGGCTTGGCTCAGGGACCACTCCTGACCTTGCTCGGGGACCAGACGGGGCGCCAGGGAATGACCCAGGTCAGCTGTGTGCACAGCCAGTGCCTTGCCAGCCATCGCCTGGTCCTGCCCCCTCCTCCCGGTCTGCTGGTGGCCTCTCCCCTCCGGCCCCTGGGTCTGTTCAGCTCAGGGGATGCCTCAGGCGCCCCATTCTGCAGATCCAGACCCCAGGGCCCCACAGTCGGGGGCTTTGCTGTCACCTACTCAAACACTGGGACTCAGAGTCAAGCCCTCCTCGGCAGTGACAGCCGCTACCATGTGGCTGACGAAGGCCTTCCGGAGCCCCATCCCCTCCCCTAAGAAGTTTGGAAGGGCCCCAGTCTGATGGGGGAGGCTGCGGCTGCTGGTGGTAGAGTGAGGGCCTGCCGGGCAGGCTGGGCTGAGAGGTGGGAAGCAGAACTCGGAGGCAAGTCCTGCAGCCGGCCCTGGTCAGCCATGAGCCCCCCTCCAGAGCTATGAGCTCAGGTGAGGCGGGGTCACCTGCCCGTCCCTCACGGGGAGGGCCCTGGTGGGGTTGCTCCCGTGTCCATCCGTCTGTCCGCAGTTTCCCTGACCCTGAGGCCGCAGCACCATGTGCCTGGGGTGACCCTCTCGACCCAGAGACCTCGGGCGCACACGCACAGTGGCCCTGGAGCTGCACATTGGCTGGGCCAGGCGCCTACAGTTCTAGAATCTTCTCCGTGCTCCCTCCCTGATGCCCTGAGACTCGGCTGGGTCCCCACCCCAGGGTGCCGGGTGCCTCTCCATTCCCCCTGCTGTCTCTCCGCACCTCTGATTCTGTCCCTGTCTGCCCTCCCTCGAACACCTCAGGATTTCTCCCTGCGCGCGTGGGGTGGGGGGGGCGGGGCGGGGGGTGTTGGTGTGTGGGGGCTGGCCGTGTCGGTGGGTGGGTGCTGCGCCTGTGGGGGCGCTGTCTGCACACCGGCATGTCTGTGTGGGGCATCTGTATGCATGTCTGTGGGGTTGCCGAGAGTGTCTGCCTTTGTGTCTCTGTAGGGGTCTTGTGCGTTAGGAGCTGTCGATGTGTGTGGGGTCTCCCGGGTGTCGGAGACGGTGTGTGTACGTGTTGAAGGTGGTATGTGGTGCATGCATGTGTGGGGCTGTGGTGGGGTGAGGGGGGCCTGTGGGGAGGGGCCGTGTATGCTTCCCGCCACCCCCACCCCCGACTCTCCGGGGCTGTCTGTGAGGGCTGCAGACTGTGTGTGGCGCTTGTGTTGTGTCTGCCTGCCCCGCCTCTCCTGCTCGGCTTCCTCTCTCTCTTTCTCATCAGGAGGAGGCCGGGGCTGGGGCCAGACGCTGGGCTGAGATCATGCAGCCGGGCGGGCTGGGCCTGGCCCTGCACTCTGCCATTGGTGGGCTGTGGCGTCGGAACTCGGCCGGGGGCGTGTGTGTGTGCGTGTGTGTGTGTGTGTGTGTGTGTGTGTGTGTGTGTGTGTGTGTCTCTGTGTGTATGAGAGAGAGGGAGGGAGAGAGAGGGAGCGAGGGAGGGTACGTGAGCGCAGAGCAGACATTGCAGCAAACCGCCAAGTCAGGCGTCACGGCCCCCAGATGCCCAGCCCCCAGCTCTTTGTTCTGAGCTGCCTTCTTCTGGGTGCGCAGGGCAGGCGGGCGGGGCGGCCACTCCGGGAGCTGCTGGCAGGAGGGCCTTGGGCCATCCTCCCTCCTCTTCCCTGCACAGAAGGTCGCCTGCCTCTGCCTTCCCCGAGCCCCCCAGCCCGCGGGCCCCACCCCGCCCTCGCCTGCCAGCAGCCCTCACACTTGGCAGACGACGCTGAAATGTCAGCCTCCTCGGCACCGCACACCCGTCTGCCGGCCAGCGTCGGGGGCGCCAGGCTCTGGACCATTGCCGTGGCCTCTGGATGCCTCAGTGGTGGCCCCTTACTTA